CACCAGACTTGAACCCCATAGAGAATCTATGGGGTATTGTCAAGAGGAAAATGAGAAACAAGAGACCAAAAAATGCAGATGAGCTGAAGGCCACTGTCAAAGAAACCTGGGCTTCCATACCACCTCAGCAGTGCCACAAACTGATCACCTCCATGCCACGCCGAATTGAGGCAGTAATTAAAGCAAAAGGAGCCCCTACCAAGTATTGAGTACATGTACAGTAAATGAACATACTTTCCAGAAGGCCAACAATTCACAAATTTTTTTTTTTATTGGTCTTATGAAGTATTCTAATTTGTTGAGATAGTGAATTGGTGGGTTTTTGTTAAATGTGAGCCAAAATCATCACAATTAAAAGAACCAAAGACTTAAACTACTTCAGTCTGTGTGCATTGAATTTATTTAATACACGAGTATTGAGATGCACCTGTACATAACACCAAAATAACACTGAACAGAATAGCATGCAATGAGGACCAGAGTTTATGCTGGCTGTGCACAACAAAGGAAACCAGTTTAAACCAGCTAAGACCACCAAACCTGGTTGTTTCAGTCTGTTGTTATGTTTTTTTCAGCAGGGAGGATTTCATGGAAGCGATTGCGAAAACACAATGTGTTCTTGGTTTTCACATCACATCTCTTCAACATCCCTCAGAAACACAACAACTTAGATCATTTACATGTATAGCACGATCCGGCATAATTTGTTCCATTGGCTTTCCTGGTTCACGGCTGCGCCTGGAATACATTACGGTCAAAGGTGGCAAGAGAAAACGTTAATAAACATGTGAGTCTGATGTGAGAAACTTTGGAGACTGTAAGTCTTTCTCTTACTTACACACACACACACACACACACACACACACACTCACACTCACACTCACACTCACACACATACACATATACACACACACACACACACACGTATGCAAACCGCAGCTGTTTCGTCTCTGGACTCACAGACTGTAGAGGAGAAGGTTGGTTAATGCAGGAGAGGACGTGTGTCCTCAAAAAGGAAACAAACAGGAAACTCTCAAGCTATTATGGGATGTTTGGAAACAATCCTACTAGGCAATTTGCATTGTGCAACTTGTGATGAAGTGCAGAGAAGAAACAGAATCATTAGTCCACTTTTTGCTTAGTGCTGCTAATGGAACACACTCGATCTTTCACTAAACTACCAAGACTGGAACAAGATCTATCGGTTAGATAGCTGGTTAGTTGCTTTCCCAAAGCATTTCAGTCAGGCTACTTGTAAAGTTGTTCCAAACAATATTAAAATGTTCAACTTGCAGTGGTATATGTGGTATAAAGTTGCATTTAAATGGCAGACAGTGCTAGAAACGGCTCGGGTGCTAAAAACACATTTGTCACCACAGATCCAAAACTAATATTTCATGAAGGTTTGATTTATTGGATTTGGAAGTACACAGAGACATTTGTGAGAGGTGCAACACATTTAAAGTTGGCAGTGAACAATGCTGAGTTTGGAAGCCCATTTCTGCCACGGGAATTAAAAAAATAATAAGGTAGTTGCGACTTTTTATGTCAGAATTTAACTTTTTAAGGTTAAATCTTACAATTTTTTTATTTTTAATTCTTAATTCTGAAAACTATTTTTTGCAAGATATAAACTGCGAGATATATAAACGCCATTATCTTTTTATTTTTTTTATTCCATTGTGGAAACAAAAAAGTCCTAAGATATAAGATATAAACTCAGAATTCTGAGAAAAAGAGTCACAATTGTGAGACATAAATGCAGAATTCCGAGAAAAAACTATTCCAGGATATAAACTTGAGGAAAAAGTGAAGAATTGTGAGATATAAAACTCAGAATTCTGAGGAATAAAGTCATAATTGTGAGTTATAAACGGAGAATTGTGAGAAAAAAATCGTAACTGTGAGATGTGAATGCAGAATTCTGAGAAAAAAAATTAGAATTGTGTGAAATAAATGTGGAGTTGCACGAAAAAAAGTCAGAACAATGAGATATAAACACAGAATTCTGAGGAAAAAAGTCATAATTGTGAAAAACAAACTTGGTATTGCGAGAAAAAGTCGGAATTCTGAGTTTATATCTTGAAATTCT